CGACTCCTCGTTCTTGGCGGAACAGGTATCCGTTGATCTCGAAGTGACTGTTGTCAATGACAAAGTCCAGAAGGTGCCGGAGATCTTGTTCACGAAAAATTCGAGGGATCTTGGTTTGACGGCGCCACTTTCCTTTGAACATACGGCGTCGATGATCTGACTTGACTTCGTACACGGACCATTGCGAGGAACCGCGAAGGCCAACAACTTGATCATAGCGATGGAGAAGCACTTGAAGCGCCTGATGGAAACGTTCCGTAGGAATGGACGTGAAGAAGCCTGACAAGTCTTGCGACACCAGGTGGATGTACTCATCAGGATCTGCTTTTGACAGTGCTTCCCACAGCTGCTGGATAAGTTCTTGTACTGAGAGTTGACCTGCAATGTCGGGGAAGGCCGCCTTGGTGAGTTCAAATATAAGTGCACCGAAGACCGTGAGGAAGGGAGCTGCCCATGTGCGAAAGAATGAGATGATGGGTCGAGCTTTCTGCCAGTCCTTGGTCGGCTTTGGGAGGATGCGCGCTGTGGGCAACGGTGCTTGAAGTCGAAGGCCCCATGCATATCGTTGACGTAGGAGAGAAGGTACTGTGTTTACCACTTCAGAGCGGAAGGATGCTGCAGATTCGCGGCAAAGTGAGAAGACATCCCCCGCGCAGAATGTCTTCCGCATCAATATGGCAAACAGGGACGGGCACATCACATGTGCGCGGGAGGGGAAATGATCCGCTGGGATAACTACCCACGAAGACAAAGAAGCCACAGTGCGTTGCAACGATGTCGATGACCAATAAGCCCGATCTTGAAGGTTAATCCGATGAGTATCCATTAGCTGAGACACAACTGGCTGTAGATCTGAAAGCAGACCGGAACCATGTACATGCCAGCGTCGAGCAAGTTTGCGAAGTTGTGTGGTGAAACGTTGATGCAATAAGTCGACATCACCGAAAAACTGATCCTTCATTGAGGCGGTCATGATTTCAATGTTAATGTCCGCATTGATGCGAGAAAACTCATCCAACATTACTGCGTGACCATGTGCACGGTGTAGATGGCTATCATCGATGTCCAAACAGCGACACGGAAAGAATGTGTCAGGCGCCCATTTGCGCTGCCATGTGCGATAGTTGTATATCTTGTCGCCCAGTGTGGCGCTGCGAGTTTCCACAACCCGGATCTTTGGAAGGAAAAGAGAGGGGAACAGATCCCGATGAGAAGCAATCCAGCTTTGTAACCATGTGCCCAGTAGAGCTTTCCAATTTTGGACATGCAGCGGCGGCAAAAGTAGCTGTGTTAAAGTGGTGGGTGGTTGTAGCCGTCGTTTGCGTAGTACCTGGGCGAGGAGCTTCTGGGCCTTGGAGCGGAAGGGTTCGTTGACAAATACTGCGAGCCGCAATAAGTAGTACAGCTGAGTGGGAGGGAAAGCGGCTGACAGTAGGTCACGCATGACTTGGAACGACGCTCCTGTATTCGATCCCAGCTGATAGAGGATCGAGTAGTGGGCTTGAATGTCATCCAGGGTGTCAGGTCGTAGTTGCCGTTGGAGATCCGGATGTAGTCGTCGTCGAAAGCGCTTGTGCAAGCCGAGGGAAGTGGGAGACGACAACGAGTGGCGTCGAAAATCTACAAGATGTTCCCGGAAGCCCACCTTGCGCAAGATTCTGTGTACCCAGGGCGCATTCAAATGCGGGCGTAGCAGGTATTGCCATTTGCTTTCTTGAACCCACACCGAGGAAACTGGAAGTTTGATTTCCACTGGTACAGCACAGAAGAGCCAGTAAGTATTGGATCGTTTCCAGTAGTGAAGCGCCGGTTCAAAGAAGGCATGCCGTCCACGAAGTAGTTGTAGAAATTTGCGACTGCGTGAGTGTTCACGACGTAGAACATCCTGATCAGTCGCCCCAACATAGTATGGTGTGTGCCATGGGGAAAGTCGAATGTAGACGCACGGTTGTTGGTGATGACCTGGATCATGTATGAAGTCGTAGAGGTCAGGAAATCGCGCCCGCAATGAGCGTAGATGTCGCGTGTCAGCGAAAGTTGAGTGCATGATTTCACACAAGAGAGAAGTCTTGTAGAAGTGAAGGACTTCGAAGAACGGCGGGAAGTAGCCGTGATCTTGTGAAATGAGACGTTGTAAGAAACTGATCAATAAATAGGCAGCGCACCGACATCTGTGAAGCTCGTACCTGTTGGCCACGGTGTGCTGAGAGTTGGACATAGCGCGATTCGGAATCTGAAGGGCTATCCGGACCACAACTAAGACCTCGAGGATGAGACCCAGCCACGGCAATTGTGTGATGGATTCGTACTCCTCAATTGGAATCGACGGTGGTGGTAGTCCAGGAAAACAGTAATGCCAGCACGTAGAGAATATGGTCAACGAGTGCAGAAGGTCGTCCAGCGACTGCCATTGTGCAACATCATCATAGATTCCGCAGCGGCGAAGTTCATCCAACATGGTGAGATGCAACCAACGAAATCTACCACAAGGCGGCGACATGAATACAAGCATCACAGACAATCACACAAGAGGCAATGCAAGAACAAGCAAGTACAAAATCAATCATGTGCAACGCAAACACTTGACGGACGAGTTTTCACCTGGACTCATCCGTGACATTGTTGCCGCTCCGGGCTCATATGAGAACGAAGGTCGATATGATGCCTTCTCATCCACAAAGCAGGCGAGCGGTCACGATGAGGTGACTCAATGCCTTCTCGGTGAGTTTGGTAAGGTACCCGGGTTCAAGACCCCATAGTGCTGCCATTGCACCGAGTGTGGGCGCATCGCCCTTCGGCATGCGCTGCCTGGCCTGAAGAAGCTGCGTCGCCATAGAATCTAACGACTTGTTGCCGTTGAGCCGGGACGGGTGATTGGCCCACTTAACCAGCGACGCCAAAGTGGTTGTTGTGGGTGCTTGCTTGAGGAAAAGGCGAGGTTGGTCACTGGTCCATGTGTAGTACTTGACAACTTCATCCGGCGTGCTGTGCATGGTGAGCAACTGTGACGCCGCCGGTTTGGACGGCGGTGACGACACTCCGTGAAGAGACTGCATGATCCGAGGTTGCACCACGCTATCAAACGACTTGCCATCCAGGGCGGCCGCGCTGGCTGTGGGCAGGGAGCTGGCAGGTGACGAGGATGGTGTGTGGTTGACCGGTGGCGGTGTAACCAACTCTGCGTCATCTTTCTGGTTTGTCATCGTGGGCGAGGTCGATGCGCGAAGTGATGCGGAATACTGAGCCTGGAGAAGTTCATGTGCACGATTCAAGTCATTGAACTTCTTGACCATGTCATCGGTCTGGGCAGCAGGTGCGAGAGAGGTGTGATGTTGTTGAAGAAATTGAAGTACCAGGTTGGCCAAATGGTCGTGGACCTTGATGCGCTGATTGAAGTCATCAATGTTGAGACCCAGCGTGTTGGCAAGGTCCTTTTCCAGGGTGAGCAGGTTGAGTGACTGCGATCTTCGTAGTAATTTGGAGCAGGTACTCCAAAGTAAGGCCTCAGTGCGGGTGCGAAAGCCTTCCCACGTCACGAATCGGCCGTGTGCAAACGGCCTGAGTAGCCAGTTGGTGAGGCCCCCGTGGATAACCTGAACCAGGCGTACGTCCCTAATATCCATGCCTGACATGTCGCGAAGGTTGCCATGTGGAGTGTTGGCAACAGTCATGGGCAGGCTGAAGTTGTAGAGTTGATTGACATCAAACATGCCGTCTGCAGGTGTCCAGTCAGGCGAGGGAGTAAGCCAGGCTTTCTGAGGACGAACCGGTAGAGCTGCAGGAGGTCCAGGTGAAGGTGTAGGTTGGGAAGTAGTGACCGGTGGTGGCATCATTGGTGGCATGAACTTGGATGGTGTGGGATCAGGAGGGATCGGCATCATGTAGTTGATCGCCGGGTATTGGAATTGCTGTGTGGGGTTGTGAGTCGATTGAAAATTGGTAGGCACCATCGGAAAGTTGTTAGCAGCATTGTAGCCGGAGTTGTGTTGCCATGAAACCAAGTTGTTCCAATCCATGTTCTCCGAGACCTGGTTGTCATTGTGCTCACGTCGGCGTGCTTTGTGAGCTTGAGGGGACGGACTCCGATCACGTCTGCGTCGAGTCCTGGATCTATCACGATCATCACGTCGAGACATGGTGACGCAACCAGATCGGAATTTGCACACTTCCACCTTGAGAGAATCAGACCCGACAATATTCAAATCCATGCAAATGCAAGTTAGCGGCCCTCAACTGCAATGGTCGAGCGAAATGTACAAGGCAAAGCAAATACAAGTCAGCAATCGACAACCGCAATGATACGAGCAACAAGTTCAACCAATGGTCAGGGTAGGCAATGAAAATCGGCAGCTATCAACTGTGGTGAGACGTCACTATGAACTGACGGCTTTCTTCCCTTTAGTGAAACCTCGTTCCTGATTAAATGTGAAATTCCGCTGTTCTATGATACGCACGTTGAGGTCAAATTTTCCGACAGAGCCGGCCCGGGGTCACACAATGGGTACACCCGAGGATTCCCCACGAATGGGGTGTACACACTTGAACTCCAGATGGAGAGTGCTAATCTTTCGAGTACAACTGATGAGTCTCGAGTACAACCGACAAGTCTCGAGTATGATGAGTTTCGGCTCGCAATGTATTCGGCTTCCCTCTAGTGTCGAAAACGTTACCAGAAAGAACAAGAAGCACAAACAGCGCCGCAACCAAGGGGCCAAAAGGACTTTCAGAATCACTGAAGCAGGTACAGGTGTCCACGTCTGGACACCCTTCCCACCTTTGGCAACAGCTTCATTGCGTGCAGTATGCCAAAGGTGCTGCACGCCCCTGCTGCGAAACCGAAAGGGTGGTGACAGGGCATTCTGTCACTCCGCACACACACACACACACAACGTGCGCACACTCGCCATCCCACTCCCGATTTCCCTCATGCATGGATCTTGAACCAGCCACTGCATTCGGAACTGCGGCGGCGACCTGGAAAGAGTGTCCCGCCAAGAGGCGTGAATGCGGCCGCGATTACCTCAAGATGAACGAGCTTCAAGCCAAAACAAAAGGAAGCTGATCTGCGAGTTGTGAAGGCAAGCATGTTTGCGGACCTGCCCGACACATCCCTGTTGGTTGGTTGATCTTGTTTGTCACCAGAAATGTGTTATTGGTAAAGGGGCACAGAATGCACTTTGTACTGGAACACGCCCTTGGGCTCCCAGACCATGCCACCCATTACAAACACCTGCCTTGTTATTGTTTTGGTTGCTTGGCAAAGTTCCTACCTTGCCAGTATGAGCGTAGCACACGCAGTGTGCTTCGGCAGCTCTACCTGGAAAATCAGAGAAGTTCAGTGTAAGTGTAGTGAAGGTGTGCTCTTTGGCAGCTCTAGCTCGAACATGGCAACTCGTCAGCACAAGGAGCAGAGGAACAGGCACACCTTGGCTTTTCAGCTCCAACCCCAGATGCGGGAAGGCCCCCCCCCCCCGGTTGGATCTTGGGCGTGATGCCTACGCAAGCCTACGCGAGGCCTACGAGAAATGCACCTAGCCTTTTTGAATCTGGGCAACGGCGAACTTATTCACTGAAGGGCTTCGCAAGCTGTGAGACATCCCCACAACAACACTTCACATCATTCGCCCCTTCATAAAAGCCCCATAAAAGCCCGTGCAACGCGACTGCCTACACAAGGCTTCACAACACGAGCCTCCGCGAAATGCCTACCCGCGCCTGTGCGGTTGTGGCCCTGTGAGTCAACTGCCTACACAACATGTAAACATGTTGCCACGATGTAAGCGTTAATCCCTGAAAAACACGCTGCCCATTTCAAAATGACATCAAGCCCCCAGGCTGGACGTCGGCAGGACGTCGAAGGGCAGCAACTCATCGCCTCGGGGGAGGTGCCACGAACAGCAACCCCTGTTAATACCCCCCCCACGTCAAGCTTGAACTGGGGCACCGAGAGTGATTGTTGGTCCGTTGTTTGCTGAATATATTCTAATAGATGCTTGGATGGTCCACCAAGAGCCAACCATCGGAATCTCTGCCGGCACCGTGACCCACGCATGGCATCTGCCGAGCACTGCAAGTGCCCTGGGCATCCGCACTCAAGGATGCTGTTGCCATCGTGTAACCTCAAGCCGCCGACTCACTAGTTCGAAGCCCGGGCATGGATCAAATATCACCAACAAAAGCATGAGCATGTGTAACATGTTCAGCGTTCTGGGAAACATGAGACGGTTTTGGAACCCTTTCATGCGGAGCCGACTTTTGGAGCATAGTGGCACTTGCCGGGGGCCCTGATTTTAACAACCCTCAATCTTGATCTGGTGCACATGCATTGGCACGCAACTGGTAGTCAAATCAAAGCCAGGCACAATCGCCCGTCGGTGCTTCGGCGCAATAGCAAGCGCAGCTAAACTCGCCTCAGCAACAGCTGGTGCGAAGTGGTGTCGAAGTCAGCTTGCAAGAATGTAGTACTGGCTGTTCTGAACGATCTCCTTCCGAGCCCAAGGCTGCTGAAGAAGTACTCGGAATACACCAAATGGCCTGAGAGTCAGCATCACTCTGGCTGACACCACTCTCAATGACGCCAAAGCCACGAAGGAAGCAGCCGCTCTCAGGTGATGCGTCCACTGGTCGTGACCACACTGCCTGGAGCTCACATTGAGGCAACTGATGGACAAGTCTGGCTCTTGGCCTATCTCATGCGGTAAGTCATAAACTGAAGAGCGGATGTCAAAGGCGTCAACACAAAAACCGCAAAGTTGCTACATGAATAATTCAGACATGAACTCATGGTCCTGTCCTATCGATGATTCTGACAGAGATATTTATATATATATATATATAATATTGAGCATGGTTGAAGGTTGAAACCCCAAGAAGGCGACAACAAGCAAGCCTGCTTGAAATAAAGAAGCTACAAAGATCCTTCCAACCATCAAAAGCAACCTTTGCTTTTCTGCTCGGCCAACTACTGGGGGGGATTAGCCGTTGAGCAAGGTATTGGTGCCTGATGTCCGTTGCTCAGTGATGCTGCAGGCCTGAGCAAAGCACTGGAGCTTACTTACATCTAGATATAGATGCATTATCAGGTCCGATATCAGGAGCCATGTTTTCAATTTTCGAGCCACAATCTCCCTCCGCTTGCGGTGGCAGCAGCAAGCCATGCATTTGCCGCAAACACGCTACAGCGATTTCAGGCTCTTGGCCACAGGATCATCCGACCGCTCCAGATGTGCCTTGAAATCATTCGCCCTAAAGTTACAAGAATAGTCGATTCATCGTTGCAGAGTTACATCGGCACACTGACCAGCCCACAGCCAATGATCCAACATCAAATTTATCAATCGCGGGAACTTAGTGAAAGCCAAGACTCCAGGCCCAAACATCACGGAAGGCACGATTCAGATCAACATAAGGGCTACACGCAAGCTGAGTTCAACATGTCCAAATTGACACCTAAAATACAGCCGAATGATGATCGACAATTGGAGCACACTTTCCAACATGTTGGCTGGCAGAAGTCCAATCTCAGACAAACAGACGGGTCAGTGAGCCAGCGTCTCAGCGAAAAAGTCAAGCTTGTCAGTCAACATGTGCAACAAACTGAGAGGTGGCTCAGAACAGGGCCAAAAACAGTATAACAAACACCCATTTGTCCTGTGCGGCGCAGTTCTGCCAAGTCATCGATCAGAAATGAATGAGGCTCTAAGACGAGCCCGTTGTGCCAAACACGTTCCGACAACCTACCGCTATAGCCAAAGCCCAGTATGCACGGAGTCTACCCAAAGACAATGCAAGGATCTAATCTACAAAGAGGCTGCACCTATAGACGTTGTTCACAACCCCCCCCTCCCCCCCCCCCCCCCCCCCCCCCCTCCCCCCCCCCCTCCTCCTGCCGCCCCCTCAACCCCTCCCCCCCCCTCCCCCCCCCCCCCCCCCCCCCCCCCACCCCCCCCCCCCTCCCCCCCCCACCCACCCCATCCCCCTCCCCCCCCCCCCCTCCCCCCCCCCCCCCTCTCCCCCCCCCCCCCTCTCCTCCCCCCCCCCCCCAACCCCCCCCCCTCCCCCCCCCCGCACACGCCTTGCACCCGGGGTCCAAGGATCCGGAGAAAAACATCTTCTTCATGACTCCGAAGACGCGGCTGGCTGGAAGGTCCACCTGCGCAGCAAACCGAGCAAACGCTTGGAAGCTGAAGAAGGGACCTTGATCCCCAGTCAGACATGTCACCGAAGTTGGCATTGAAATCCAAACAGGGGCGTGCCTGGAAGGTGACTAGGTAAGCACTGCCGCCCTTTCGTACGTCAGAAGGCGATCTCTTCACAGTCAACTTCCCCTGGCCGTGTCCCCATCGGTGAGCCCACCATGCTACGATTGGAAGGGGAGCACAGGGAATCCACTCGTGGGTTCCAGCACTCCCAGTCCACCCCCACCAGGCATGCCGACAACGAGCTCGACAATGCATTGGCCTCCCTGTACAGCGACCTGAAGTCCTGACTCGCAGCTGCCCCAGTCTGCTGAATCTATTGCAACTGCAAGTTGCGAGCGTCATTGCATGCTTCACTTAGAGTACGCACATGGCTCGTGTACTTGAAAGACCGGTGCGAGCTAGCAGCCCCATGCTCCCTCTGTTAGACCAAAACGAAACAGTTTGTCCAGCCTGACCCTGCTCAATCAAATGCAAGCAAATAGCAAGGTGCCTCCAAACTGCTGGCTTGTTGTGTAAACAGGACTCTTAAGTTTGACACATTCCCAAATCAGGTCGCATCCAAGGCTCCCGGGTGAATGGCGCAGACAGCAGCCAATCCTTGCCACGTGTCTGTGCCAAGGACTGCTTGTAAGTTGCCGGCACAGAGTAACTTCTTTAGACTTCTTTATACTTACCCAACTACTGTGTCTCAAGCATTGATGGCATAGGAAAGGACTGTCTGGATACGTTGCCACGATGAGGCATGGCCTGGCAAACCGACCTGGTTCTTGCATGTCGGGTTCTGCCACGAACAATTGGGTGTCTTGTCTGCTCCTTGGGAGCGTTGCTGAAGAAACAGAAGCATCCCAGACATCAACGCTTTACACGCGAGGCATCCAGGGTTTAAGAGCTCAAGGGTTCATTGCTCATGATCCTGTCCTCCCCCCATTTCTCGCTGTCATCCAACTTCCTGTGCAGCCTGGCCGAGGCTGGTGCCATGAAACAAATCAAACGGCTGCTGCGGTGCCTGTCCCTCGTCTCACGGCAGGCAGCTTCCAGCATGCTCACCTGGGCGCCAACCCACCAAGGTGACTGCCACGGGCAGTCCCAAAATCGGAATGCGGAGGACTGCACGGGGCGTGGCCGGGACAGTGACACTTCAGGAAACCTCGCCCACCAACATCGCTCAGCTGTTTGCGGCTGGGAACAGCCAAGCAGGCGAAGTTGCGAAAGGGCGGGTGCCCTGATCGCTGTGAGTTCACAGGTGCCGTGTGCAACGGACGCAAATAAGCGGCAGGCAAAACTGCCAGGATGGCATAAGATTCCGCAGAATGGTTTGGGACGTGACACCCAAAATAAACTATACAAACCCAGTTCAAATATGTGGTCAAAATGTGTGCTTGCCACAAGATGGTCAGATCCAGGCTCGTTAGGCTACCATAGTCAAAACGCGGCTATCAGATGTTCATTTTCATGAAAAGCCGCACGCTCGGGGAAACATCTGATGGAGATCTATATATATATATATATACAACAACATGCTAGACCATCCTTAGCAAATGCATACATGATGTGTCCGATAAAACTCAACTTTCTATCTGGTAATTTTAGCATAGATCTGCACGTTCTGGTATATAGCCAGAATGTGTTTGGCAACATATTAAACACGGATTTATAGATCACGCTGCATGACCTGCAATAATATGTTCCTAGCGCATGAACAGAACGTGTCTAGCATGGACATTGTATTTTCAGCCTTGTCCAATGCAATTCCATGTTATGTCAAATAGTCGACAAGGGCTCAAGAAAGCAACCCTAAAACAATCTCAGTTCAAACTGCTGCTTAAACTGTTTCAATCCCAAACCCTAAGCCTCGGCTAGAGGGAGGCTCTGGGAACACATCCATCCAAGGCGCCTGGTCCTCTGGCAGCTTCTGGAAAGCCCGGGGCAGCTGTTCCTGCAGGGCAAAACAAACGAATGAAGATGCGAATCAAGCAATTTACATGATCTGCTTGCTAAGTGTGTCAGGGTGGCGTTCTGGACAAACGCGGGAGGAGTGCACATGTTCAATTGATTCAGACCTCGCCCATATTCCATGTGATAAACCGCACAAGGCTGTTCACCAGAATTCTTCAGTTCTCATCTTATCCACCTTGCAACCAAATACTTGCCTATGTCGCCATGCCAAAGAGCATGCCGCTCTCGCATGGAATCTGAGGCTCGCAAGGCAAAGACATCATGCAAAATTATCCTCAGCAGTTTGGGCTGCAATTTGTGTAATGGCGGGCCCTTGTGTCCACAAACTCTTGTGCCAGCTGCAGCACTGAAGAAAAGTGGAATCGCAAGGTTCAGGAGTGGTGGTCGGGGATTGGGTAAGGCTTGACTTAGCGGGGATGATGTTCCGGTTCTCCTTGGCAAGAGGCTATGTTGAGCATCCCTGTGTAATTTGATTTATGAGTGGCGTCGAATTCGTTTGAGTGTGGGTGTCAGATTTGGACTTGGTTTAAGCGTAGCATGAGGCAGGATTGGTGAATTGCCTGAATCAGCCCAGCACATGCCAAACCTTCACTTAGAATCAAACGCAACATGTCCATCTCGGCCATTTCCGTTTGAACAAGCTTTCGCTCTCTGTGAACAAACTCGAAGACTCATCTTTGCCCACGTCCCATTCTTGACGTCAACAAGTATGCAGTACATTCCGACCCCGAAATCTGGGCAAACAAATGAATTAGCATGAATGACTTTGACTGCACCGTACATCCGCCCGAAATCATTATCATGCCAAGAGCAATAATTTCCCAGCTGGGCTGCTGAAGAAAACAAATGCCGTCCACAATGCAGGTATTGGACATGCTGACATTTGCTCTTGCTTTTTGACGCATGCTACCACACTTTGCAAGTTTAAACAACCAAGGAAGGTAGTGCCGGCAACAGGCTGGACAGTGCTGAAAATTACGGTACTTTGTTCTCTCCGACATGTTGGTCACGTGCTAGTGTCCAGCATCTTCAAACAAAACAAGTGTTTGCTCATCAGTCTCCTGCAGGCGGCGGATGAGCTTCTTCTGCACCTCGCTCAAGGTGCCCAGTGTGGCGCCAGCCAACACGGCACCTCCGGTCAAGCGGACACCGGGAAAGGGGATCCTCAGGCAAAACCTCAAGGAGCTCTGAAGGGCGTGTCTATGGAAACCCAGAAAGAGTTTTCCGCTTTCCCCGCATGCGGGGTAACATTGGACCTTTGTGAGTCGCTGGCCCTGTCTCCCAGCTGGTTTTGCGAGAAGCAAAACAGCCGGACAAAAGGCAAAGGTGGCCAAAGCCTGTGTCGGACCAGGTTTGTCCTGCGTTTCACGTCAAAGATGCAAGAGAGAAGTTTGGTTTTGCCCAGGCAGCCTCGCCCGGCGGCGACGAGGATCGGCGCTCCCGCCAGGGGACATGCCAAAGCGGCAAGGCCCCCCAGCACCATCAAGCCGGCAGAGGGCGTCAGCAGCCGCATCATCCTGCGCGTGATTCTGGTGTCGGATAAACTCTTGCAGTGGGTGACATCGGATTTGGCCATGCAAAGAGTTTGCAGTCCCCAAAAGTTGGCATGGGAGCTGAATCCAGTCCAAACGATCCCGAGCCGTTCGAGTCGCTGGTTGCAACGCATGTTTGCCATTCCAAATTGGATGGAGTTTCGGGATGCAAGAATTAATCTCGCAGTGCGCACATTGTGTGTGTGTGTGTGCGTGACATCGAGTCTCTGTCTGTGTGCGCACATGTTCGGCTGAGGCGGCCACACCTTTGGAGAGGTTATGGCAAAACTCTCCGCGTTTCGCTCTGCTCATTGGAAACATGGGTTGAGCTTCCACTGTTTCGAACTCGGGAACAAATTAAATGGCCAGATTGGAGAGGCAGTGTTGCCAGTGTGGCTGTCCGTGTGCAACTCTTTAATGTGACTCATCCCTTCCTTGTGTGATACACTTGCTATCAATATGGATGTGCAAGTTCCAAAACACTGCAAAACAACGACAACAGCTTCTGCTGGGTCAAACGCAGCACCTGTCCGGTCTTCAACTTGCCAAGCACACTAGAATCATGCTAGGCGGTGCGCCACCGTATGGCTCGCAGTCTCCTTGCCTGTATTCATTCTCTGCAGATTCTGCAAGAGTGCGAACCTTGGCTGAACACACAGCGCCCCCATCGACAGGGTCGGCCGAAAACTCCTCAATTGACCTGCATTTCAACACTACCTCAACGGGCTTTACCTTCTCCGCTTTGCAAACTGCTTGGACATAGGATGACATAGGGATGGATTCCTTCAACCAACAACGATCACGCAGCGCAGGCAGTTTTTGGGCACCCCACCAAAACTAAGTCGAACCCCCAAGTTGCAGATTTCTCTTCAGCAAAAAAAACGTCAGGGACCTCAGGGGTTGCGTGAAACACCGTGAAACCGGAGCAAAGAACCGGTTTCAAAGGCGGCTCAGTGCCGCGCGCCCTGCTGCGTGGACTCCAAGGCATGCGCCACCCGCTCCTCCATCAGGTCCAAGCCCTCCTATCAAAATGAATTGGACCCGTGGGGTGGCTCCGTTTCCGAAAGGAAACCAAGCAGAAACCATGTGGGAAACAGGTTCGGCTCTGACATTTTCGTTCACTCTGACAGGAGAGAACGGTGCTCGAGCATGCAGCCTATGATAGGGGAGACACAACACAAGAGGGGACAAGGTCAAATATATGCTCGAGCCCGAGTCTCATATTCTCTGTTGTGCCTAAAACAAGTTGATTCCAGTGTGGCATGAACATAATATGGGGCCCGCAAAAGCTGTGAATCCAAGGCATGATAGCTTGGCAGGCCAACACTGCGCAACATTTTGTTCGAAACCTCTCAGAAACGGTGCCCCAAACAAACTGCCCCAGACTCACGATCTCTTTCTCCTGATCCTGTTCAATTTGGGCTGCCATGAGGTTGGTCACCTCCACCAGGTTTGCCCCGGCTTGCGAGAGCTCCAGCAGAGCCATTCGCTCCCGCGCAGCCTCCGCCGCGTCGTCCTAACGCGAAACGCAAAAAGCGGAGCCCGCAGTTTGGACTGCAGGAGCTGACGACCCACGACTAGTGAGCCTTGGCGTGGTTTGGTTTGCTCCTTGTGTAGGGATGGTGCCACAACTTGTTGACCATGCTCTCAGCGCTTAGCGGCCTTCTTTCAAATCAGTCATCGGATCAAACAGGAAGGGCAGCAGGAACATGCACATGCTTGCCCAGCATCCTCCTCGGTCCAGGACATCACAGGCCCCAAGTCGCCCAAAATGATGGTGCAGTCTGACTCGGGGTAGGTGATCACAGGATGCGTGTAGAGCTCCGACGACAAAGCGCCCTCAGGGGTGCGCAAAAAACAGAAAAAAACTTGCTCGGAACCCATGCCAAGTTGTTCAGCTGCCCTGCAATAAGGCCAGGGTTTGCGAAAGTGCCAACCTCCGCCGCCAGCAGCCGAACTTTATCTTCAGCGTGCCGGGGTTCCTGCTGAGGATACAAGAAGCCAGCAATCACCTGCAGGGCTGGGCAAAATGTGTTTGGCAAACATGTCAGCGCTTTGATGTGAGCATGACTTGGGAAAAACACGCACGAAACAGCCCTGATCACCTGCAAGGGCTGGGAAGTTTCGCCCTCTCCTCCTCGCGCAAGGTGGTCAAATTCGCCGGAGGATCGAGGCGCGTGCTGGCAATCCAAAGCATCATATCTTCTTCTAATCTCCGCCACCTGTGGGCATGGCAGGTGTGCCATTTACACATGAACCTCACTTCACACGCTATGACGTGCCTTCATTGCAGACCGATTTGGAAAGTGTCCATGTGCTGAAAATGCCGCCAACTCCAAAAGGCATTGCCTTAGGTTCTTCCCGTGTCCCGGGTCAGCTCCGCTCTTTTCTTCTCTTTTCGCTCTCAGAAGGGCGGCAGGCCCCACTCTTCTGGACGGAAGTCCTCCAATGACAACAGCTCGCAGTGGGCGCGTCCGCACAAATCCCGGCTGAGGTTGGCATCCGGCACGTGGCAGACCTGCATGCCCGCCGCCAGCCCGGCCTGCACGCCGCTGGGGGCATCCTCAAAGACCAGCACCTGCAGCCCCGCCGGGACGGCATCGAAGAGGCTGGCGGCGTGCCGGAAGATCTCGGGATCCGGCTTGGACTTGGTCACCTGCATCTCACAAGAACTTCTACATAACAAAACTGAAATGCCCTGGTAGTTCCTGAGTCCCCCAAGCTTTGAGCCGGACCCGCCTGATCTCCTGTGACGATGTGATTCATGAGCTTGAAGAGCTCTTTGTGCAGTGTTGTTTTTAGGTCAAAGTGGCGGCGATGCGAGGATGTGGCAACAGCCATCGGAACTCCGTGATGATGGAGATGTCGAATGAGTCGCTCCACTCCAGGAAGAAGTGCAGCTTCAGCAAACAGCTTATCTAGCCTCTGTTCGCGTTCGGCTACGAACTCTTCAGCAGAGATTTGACCCGTCAGCCCCAGCTCATCAATGCACAGCTGACAAGCTTCCAAAGCCTTCTTCCCCATCATCTTCGCCTTGAGATCCCAGGTAAACTTCTTGTTCCATCTGTCCAGAATTGCCTGCTGCGCTACAGAGTATGAGCTCTCCGTGTCCAAAAGCAAGCCATCCATGTCGAAGACAACGTGTGTGACTGCTGGAGCCTGCGCCCGCTCAAGCAGCAAGCGCAGTGGCTGCACTGGCAAGCCCTGCACAGATTCCACAGTACCCTCAAGGCTCTTGAGAAACGGCTTCCATGACTCATCTTCAATGACGACGCCGCCAGCTGTTGTGAAGACCTCGCCCTTTTTGATAAGTGCATCTATTACTTGATCTGGGAACTCTGTCCAGTGTGCCTTGGAAGAGTTGATCGATGACACACGCCTTCCTGTAGCCGTATTGTGGACAACCATTCCATTGATAAAGCAGGCGGGTTTGCCTTGTCTGTATGATTCCAGGAACTGCCGTGCCTCTGCCTCACTCTCAGGCTTCTCTCGAATGTTCCCATCGCAACTGGACACCTGGCCATGGGTCAAAATCCCGGCTAGCCCCCAGTGAACATCCCAATCCCCACTAAAATAGGTTCTAAAATGGGTGGTGAATTCACTTGGTTTTGACCCACAGCCACCTGGTCCATGCAAACCAGCAGCACCTCTTTGTCCTGCACCTTCGGAAGGAGGGCATCCGCCTTGGCGCGCGCAATGGCCAGGCACATGTCTTCAGCTCGCTCGGCGCGGATGGCCTTCTCGTCGATGTCAGGCGACATATAATCCGCGCCCAGGTGCGGGAAGTGCTGCAGAAAGACGGAGCGTCTCCATTTGCTCGAGCTACCCAGAACCACTGGCAGCTCGGCCCTAGCACGCTTCGTAGCTCGGTCGTCTTGATCCATGGCAAATCACTAAAAGCACTAACCACTAGAAGACTAGAAGGATAGAAAGAGTGGCTCCAACAATATACCCTATTTTCACAGTCTTGATCCATGGCGTATTGCGAGCGTGCACCACCACAGGAATTGATACTGGAGGAGCCCATGTCTGACTGAAGTTGAAAGTGAAGCAAATGCACCTCTTCTGTCCAACCGTATTGTGCCACAAATTGCAAAGAGAGCCTGCCCCATGCACCCATCTGCAGCCAAGTTCCAAACAGGACCCTTTTTCTCCAACATGAAATCCGACATAATTGGAACGCCTGCTTGAGAATGTGTAGAAAGCCCGATTTATGAGGCTCAGTCTTTCTTGGGCTTTCAAATTAAAAGACTCTCTTCGACTCTTCCGCCCTAGCTTCGACACGCCGGACAGCTCAACTCGCCTCGCCTCCCTGGAAAGTGCCATGTCCCTGGTGGACAGCTTTTCCAGGTACGCCAGCTCACCGCCCATCTCGGCCCGAGCCTCGAACCCATCCCACAACCCTTCGAGGACATTTGCGGCCCGCACGAAAGTCGAGTCGAGTGGACGGGCGTGCCTGCCTCCTTGCTGCATTGGCCGCCGCATCGCTGCAAGACTTGGTCCAGCTCCTGCACGCGCCTGCATACAATCAATCCGGAAAATGTCTGACAAAATTGTGGTTTAGGTGGCGGTGTCAAAATTAGGTACCCGAAAACATGAAACACCACACACACACACACACACACACAGACGCACACATTAGCGCTTGCAGAGTACACCGTATGATATCTTCGAGCAAGGCGGAAACCTTCTAACATCGTCCCTCAACCATGCAGTATTTGGCAAGGTACACAGAGCTGAGACAGGCCTTGGAGCTGCGTTTTGGGCGCTGCTGGCTATGTTTTTTTCCAACTGTTCCAACTGTCGGCCATAGCTCATCGCTCAAGATCAAGTGAAGCACTTTGACAGGTATGCATCTAGATAAGCACAAGTGCTGGAGTTTGGGTGGGAGTCATACACGACAAACAACCCTGGCTTCGCATGCTCGCCGTGTCATACCTAATCCGTTTGGATTGCTTTGAGTATGTTGGGGGGACTTGCATGCTTGCAGTGTTATTTGGGCCAAAGCTACCAGGTGAATTCTCAGCCGCCATCCTGGTGGCACGGTTCAACTGCCAGTTGCCAACACAGCGAGAGCTGAGCTAGTGAGTTCGCGGCTGAATGGGCGGCCCTCTCCGGATTGATCTCTGATCTGCCTGCATCGGAGCTCTACTTGCCTTGCAGCTTGTCAGAATGCACTCCCCAGACGCCATTTTCCGTCATTCATTCGCTGGGCCGTCTGCGGCCTCAGTGCCCGTGCACAAGTTGACGAATGTAAAAACCATATCGGCTACACATCTGCCACACGCTTGCATCCACGCATTCTGCATGCCAAGCCACACAATTCAATCAAGCCGGCATTGATCCTCGCAGCCAGGCGAGGATGTGAAGGTCTAAACGATTCGGCTCACATGTTTAGCGTGAGTTGCTTGTTGCTTGGTTGCTTGGCCATGGCTAGAGCTTCACGGAGACTGTTGCAAGGATCCCACTATGTGTGTGCCATTGTGTGTGTGAGACTGTGTGCGTGTGAGACTGCGTGTGTGTGTGTGTCTCTGTGGGTGTGTGTGTCTCTGCGTGTGTTTGTGTGTGCGTATGTCTCTGCGTGTGTGTGTGTGTCTCTGCGTGTGTGTGTGTGTGTGTGTGTGTGTGTGTGTGTGTGTGTGTGTGTGTGTGTGTGTGTGTGTGTGTGTGTGTGTGTGTGTGTGTGTGTGTGTGTGTGTGTGTGTGTGTGTGTGTGTGTGTGTGTGTGTGTGTGTGTGTGTGTGTGTGTGTGTGTGTGTGTGTGTGTGTGTGTGTGTGTGTGTGTGTGTGTGTGTGTGTGTGTGTGTGTGTGTGTGTGTGTGTGTGTGTGTGTGTGTGTGTGTGTGTGTGTGTGTGTGTGTGTGTGTGTGTGTGTGTGTGTGTGTGTGTGTGTGTGTGTGTGTGTGTGTGTGTGTGTGTGTGTGTGTGTGTGTGTGTGTGTGTGTGTGTGTGTGTGTGTGTGTGTGTGTGTGTGTGTGTGTGTGTGTGTGTGTGTGTGTGTGTGTGTGTGTGTGTGTGTGTGTGTGTGTGTGTGTGTGTGTGTGTGTGTGTGTGTGTGTGTGTGTGTGTGTGTGTGTGTGTGTGTGTGTGTGTGTGTGTGTGTGTGTGTGTGTGTGTGTGTGTGTGTGTGTGTGTGTGTGTGTGTGTGTGTGTGTGTGTGTGTGTGTGTGTGTGTGTGTGTGTGTGTGTGTGTGTGTGTGTGTGTGTGTGTGTGTGTGTGTGTGTGTGTGTGTGTGTGTGTGTGTGTGTGTGTGTCTCTCTCTCTCTCTCTGTCTGCGTGTGTGTGTGTGTGTGTCTCTGCGTGTGTGTGTGTGTGTGTGTGTGTGTCTCTGCGTGTGTGTGTGTGTGTCTGTGTGTGTGAATGTGTGTGTCCCGCAAAACAACTGCAGACACACCTGCTACACAGGAAGACGGCTTTTGCCATCAAGCAAAGACGGGTTGCCAGAATCAGAGCAGCGATACCGCAATTTGTTGCGCTACATACAAAGTTATCTCAAGATGATATACACCATCCAAAAATCCGAGGATCGCCTTTAGCATGAACTGGTTCCTCCTCACATCTCGCATTCAAGGATGGTCCTAGATGATGCCCACCCGGAACCTGGCAGCCACCTGCGCAGATTGGCAAAAACATCGGCACCTGATCCGATGTGTCCAATCAGCTTGAGTTGGCCCTGATCGCAGCGCGCAGGTTTTCCTCTACAGCCAAAATCTCCATAATCGAGATCTAGAATCGAGATGAGGCCTCCAACACGCCTGCTGCTCAACCCGAAATCAAGCGCAGAACTGCTCAAAAGTCTGGAGCTTCGCTCCATGCCTCTCCCGCAAGATAAGCAACGGCGGGACATGCAACGGAAGGAAGGACTCACGCGGCGAAATCGTTCTCCTTTCGGTGCAGGCGTGCCAGCTCATGCATGTGAGAGCCGAGAGCCTCATGTGGTCGGAAGCATGCCTCCAGCATGCCATGAAACTAAAGCGAAGATTGCGCCGGGTGCAGCTTGCTTGGTGTTGCCAAACGCAACTTGCAGCCAAAACCCCGTTTACCCCTTGAACTAGCGTCTCGCTCAAGTCTGAGCTCAACTTCAACCAAGCCTCCCCTTGGAGGTGAAGTCAATCTGCTTGATCTGTTTCTTGCCGATCAACAAGCTTCTTTTTCAATTCATCGCAAGCATGCTGCCATGACGGTGGAAGATGGCCTGGATGTGGCTTGGCTGTTTAGTCGGAACATACAGAAGTGGACTAAAGTTGGTTTGAATTTTGGAACGGGGTAACACCAACAAACCAGCATCTCAATACTGATGTGGTTGCTAAGCTTAATTAACTCAGATATGCCCAAAACCAACATGTATGCTTTCCGTGTTTGCGTCCTGCATGTAAGATGTGTGCTGATTGTCCAACGCTTACGTCAATTCAAACCAACTCAAGCATGCAAAGGTCCCCTCTCAGAGCTTGCTTGTCGGTTCGCCGGTCGCAAACTCGTTGGCCTTTGATATGAAGCAGTGGTTGGGCAGGCAGCATGCCTAAACTGCACATAATTTCCAGGATATGCCTGTTGCAACTGGCGCCCAAAGTGGCAAGCTTGGCAAGATGAAGCAAACAGATCTCTGACTCGATGTCTCCTTGGCATAGTCAAGGCCAGCTTGGATCTCCTCCTTCAGGACCGGCATCAAGGCATTCAGGCGGCCCTGTTCCTCAGGAACGCAAGTGACTCGTCGCCGACATATGGGATGCGGTCATTCAAAGCTCAACCAATCGATTGGTAAACTGACCGCGGACTATGATGAATTCCAACATCTCATCGATCCTTATCGATCCTTACTTGCCACCTTAGGACTTTGACTCAAACAGTTGGTCACGCTTGGTGCTTGTGCTGTGACAAGGCAGCCGTGTCTCATACTCGTTCAGGTCCCCCAGAGGGTGGACCGTCTCCACACCCTGCTTTCCAAAGGTCACCTGAACCAGACGTGCTGGAACTGCAGAACACTGAAGCACGCTGGAAACATGAGCTGTCTTTCAAGTTTCAACAATCCTGGCATCCCTCTAAGGCAGAGTATCTCGCTTTCCACATCAAAAGGCAATTCTTGCCGCCCTCCAAGGGCGGGTGATTCCGGGCCAGCAAACACTGAGTGACTCGCCTTCGATGCAAAGTAGGGCAAGTCAGTGACAGTCGACGCCACGTATGCGCACCTTGGCACTTGTGCCGGACACAAAGGCGCTCTTCCGTCGAATTCTTGAAACATGCCCTGGTCCTGAACGTTCAAAAGCCAGCCTTGATCATGGCACTTAGAACACACAAGTCCAGACTGGATGCTTGTTGAGCGGAAAACTACAAGTGCGATGCTGGCCCAAGGTGGGGGCGCTTGTCGGCCCACCTAATCGGGAACATGCTCGAACTCCTTCAGACAGAGTCCAGGACATGTGAGTTTCAAAATTGGTGTTTGGCACACATAATAAAGGAAGCTGAGGCGTAAATTTTGACGGTTTGATGAAGGACCCAGCAAATGCGTCTCAGGGTGCACATGGGGGTTCGATGCTGCAAACGAGCAGAGGGTGAAAGGGGGGTTTTATAAATCTCCTTTCAGCTGGACAAGGAACACATCGACAAACCCTGCAGCTTGAGACCCGGTCAGTCTTGGCAGGGTATTGCCCCGCCCCAATCAACTGGTACAAGAAGACAGCTGCGTCAATTCGGCCAAGTAACTCCTGCACCACCTCCCCATTGAGGCCAGCCAGCACTGCCTGCACGTCCGAAGCGCAACGAAATCCAGCTGTAGGGTGCCACTTAAATCAGGACCGAAATACAGAAGCAAGTTGCACATTGAATGGTAAATGTGTGCCTTGCATCTCTGGCACATTTGTATAACCTACCCTACGTTGTCTGGGACATGCGCTCAACCATGCTTTGCTCGGCCACAGCCACGCCTTTCCAAGGCGAGCTCCGGCATAGGCCATCGACAGGGTTGCGCTCCCTTTGCCTCGTCGCATCCATTGCATAGGGGTTTCTCCTGTCTCGGACTCGGGTATTTCTGGGTGCCGTGCCATTCTTGGCAGCCACCACGACAGTGCCGGCATCCTGCACCTGGCGCTCTGAAGAGCCCCTTCAACTCGTTCGAGTGCTCCCGGCCCGCCTTCTTGTCCATGTCTGGGATCTTGTCTGCCGGGAGCGTCTTTCCCACCTGGCTCGAGTGGGACGGGATGTGCAGTGAACAATGATGAAGTCCGCAATTGTTCGAAACTTTCAAAACCAAGTTGTATTTGCATGGCACTGCTATTGAGTACAGCAGAGTCATCCAGGGGAGACAATCCTGCCGTGGACAACGAACCAAAACAGCATGCAGCCGCCCACGCTTTTCAGATCACGGAAAATGCAAACACATATTCCTGGATATCTGACACTCTGTCTGAAACGTTTCCCTCTGCCTGGCACTGGGAGAAGAGTGGGAGGATCGTAGCGCCCGCATGGCCGCCTTGGTCCGTGTGCTTGCGAGGCAAGTCTTTAGCAAAGAAAAAATGGGCCCGCCAAAACAGTGCAGCTTGACTATGTCAGTGATGACTTTCAGCTATTCTGGCCTTGTAATATAGTCGTGCTCTTCCACGCAAAGAAAAGGACAAACATGTATTTGATTGGGGTGAACTCTCCCTGCAGCCAGGTAGCCAATGACCGGTACCTGGATGTCGGACATGGGAGAACCGGTCATTTCGTGGACAAACTTGTCGGCGCGCACGACATCCAGGGTGGTGATCTGAGTGGCCAGGCGGAGCCATGAACATGCTGAAGGGAGAGTGAACTGTGAGGCATTGATGCGTTGCTTCTTGCAAGAAATGACAACTGATACTTGCGAACTCGACAAAGGCTGGCCAGGGCAACACAGGCAATGACCATGAGGCCCTGGCGCCGACAATCTTAGCTGGGTTCAAGCCTGATGCGAAAATGGCAGGATCTGCAAGTTGTGCGTGGCAGAGCTTGACTCGCTCAAGTCTGAGGGATCAGGCCCTTCTTCTTCCACATCTCGCACATCGCCGGAACCACCGAGTTCACGGGATTGACGATAAGGCCGACCACCGCCTTAAGTGGCTCCATTTGGAGAGTACTCACTGAACAAAGGCAAAGCACGAATGGTGCTTCCGGTGTGGGAGGTAGAAGGCAACGCTGGTAAAACACAAAAAGTATAGGGAGAAGGGTCAACGGGTTGGCACAGGGCTGGGGATCTAGAAAACGAATTGGATGTGGCTTGTGTGGATAGTACTAAAAGAGTACTAAAAGAGTACTAAAAGAGTACGAAAAGAGTACTAAAAGAGTACCAAAAAAGAACCTACAAAGAACATGTAAAATCCACAACAAGCTCATCCAAAACGTTTTCTAGAGGGGAGATCGCGCTCGTATCTCTCCAAAATTATACATTGCACCGGGCACATTCACCCATAAATACAATCTCTTTGCTGTGGCTCTTGTGAATCAATCCCGTGAAGCACGCAACGATCTGTAAAGTGAATCCAACTGCTAAAGCAAAAAGCGCAGTGTCAAGCACAGATTTCGGCTTGGGAGGTTTGCAGCGCACATTGTGGCATGGCACCTCCGGGCAGTACTTGGCGCAGGCTTCCACAATGTTTTTGGCCTCAGTGCGGCTTATGAGCTGGCAATTGCTGCAATGGCATGCGTTCCTTTGATCCACTAAGAGTTGCACGATTCCCGCATTGATGTTGAGCAAGTCCTTTCGGTCCTGGCAAAAGGCCCAGTCAGCCAAATCCTCTGAGCCATTTTAAGTTCCAGGTCTGAGTCGCCCCGCCATGGCGTGCCACCCCTTGTCCATTCTTGTCCGTCCCTGTCACATCATGGCCGGCCCACCCGTCCTGCCCGGGCTTGCGGGGAACACCAGCAGGCACCAGCACTAAGTGGCAGCCCGTGAGGCACTCTCCAGCCTGCGACAAAATCGCTCAAAGCGACATGGCCATACCTTGTCATGGGTTGTGACTGGGGTTGGGTCCTCTTTCTGGACGACTATTGGATGCCAAGAAGGCACAAATGGTCAGTCTCCAACAGACCAACAGTGACGTGACAAAAATCCATCATATCATATCCATCCAAGCCAATCAGCCTGCCTTTTGATTGCGTGTGCCTTTGCCTGCAATGAGTCGCGCACATGGCATGTGGGGTTTTAAGCCAATCCATTGAACGCCATTTGGCAGTGTCAGAGACTGCTCCCGTTGTATGTGCTGCAATTTGCTTGCCGCGGGCATGCGCCTGGATCTTTTGTTGTTGGGTTGATTAATAGGCAGCATGATCGCGACAGACATCGCAGAAGCAGTGAAAGTGGCGAATCGAGATCTGACAAGGTTCTTTGTTCTACGTATGCTTCATACAAATCCCGATGTGAACGTTGCTTTCATGTGTGGTTGGTCGTCAAGTAGAAGCGCAACTAGAAAAATGTTGTTCAAAGCCGTGCCCTGCCTTTTCGATTGCCTTGTCGTCCTTGTCAAAGGCATAGCCCTTCACCTGAAAAGACGTTTTGCTTGTTGATATTCAGCCTTCAGCAGCTTTGCATTGAGCCCTCTCTCAACTGTTGAATTTGAGTCGAATTGATGATAACACCAATCCTGCACCCTTTCAAGGCTCCAATGCTCAAGATTCAAAATCTTCTCACCTGCCATCCTGGTATTCACACATCGCTCACCGCTCCTTGCACTTCATGTTGAGATGTGACAGGTCCGCTGCTACGCCCTCTGCTGGCACCATTGCCAGGGTCAGGTCCTCGGTGGGGATGTGCATTGGCCAGGCTTCGCGAGGTCGGCGCGACTACTTGTGGAACTGTTCGAGTCAAAGAGATGCTTGCCCCCGAACAGGATCATGGCACCACATGGGGATCCCAAGAGCTTCTTCGATTTTGGTAGCTTTTGTGGTCGTTGCGTGCAGAAGTGGCTGCGGCAACAGAGTTTGCAGCTATCCCATCTCAGGCAGCAGCATAGACGCAAAGCTCTGAAACCTGAGGGGTGAGCATTCATGAACAAGAAAAGCTGGAGTGAAGAACTACAAACAAGATCATGCAACTCACACGCTGCAGTCTCTGCCTCAGGGCTTTCTTTGTTCTCTAGTTGCATTTCGTGTCTGCCGCAAAGCTGAGGCTCTTTGGGGCGAGAAAGGAATTCCAGAGTCTGCATCTCTCAAAACCATCTGAGCTGAGGACATTGGGGTCCATGGCCATCAACATGCTCAAGGGCTGGCCAATGCCACCAGCACCTCCCACCACACAGACCTGGATCGCACGGCCAGAGCGTGGATGCAAATGTCCAATGGCTGCGCCTTGTAACTTCCCGCCATTGCGAGGTAACGCGAACGAGTTGGAAACTTGAGTGCAAAACGGCGCTGGGGAGCCGAATACTTTGCTGATGCAAGCCAAGTGCATGTAAGCAGCATGCAGCTGCACAGCAGCTGCGCCTATCATTGTCTGGAACTCTGGTTGCCACACCTAGGGCAAGGTGAGACTCACGGTGAGACCGGACCAACACCTGACAGTGAACCTCTGCAAATTGCTGCTCTTAGCGCTGAGCAATACCATGCCAACCTTCTCATCGGCACCTCAGCAAGCGTCAAGTGTTGGGTCATTGGTTTCAACTGAGCGCCAACGCGCCCCAAACCAGAAATCCACCTACTGAGCACACGGGATTTCTGCGCCTGGTTACAGGCAAGATACGCGTCACAAGCCTACATGAGTTTCCCCCTCAGTCAGGCCTTTGCCTGGGTGGGGTGGCTCCAGCTTCCGTTGGAACATTGAGCCACACTTAAAACTGATGTTCCAGACAATTTGCGCTTGGATCTGGCAGAGTTCACTGAACAGCTCCAAACACCCTCAGCACAGTCTATGTGCCGCTCCAGAAGTTTTCCTGGACATCAGCTGCAGCCTCATTAGAAATCCAGCTGCGTCCTGGAAGCCCTTCAAATTTTAGGCGCATGAGAATGGATTCGTACTTGTCACCGTATCCTGCGGGCAAATCACGCGGCAGGCATGCCCTTCATGTCATGGTCATGAATCAGAAGTGGCAAGCGCAAGTCCTGAAGTCCCACGAAATGGCCCCTCGGGACACATGAGAATTGCCAATCCCGGCACCTTTTGACGCAGCCGAGCCGCACGACAGCTTGGGTGACATCAAGGGCCAGATGGCGGCCCGGACAAATGCGAGGATACACCTTCTCCTGAGCGAAATGATCTGAGGGGCTGGCTTAAAATGGCCATGGGTCAAAAGCCCGTACCGCCAATGAACATCCCAATCCCCACTAAAATGGACTAAAATGGGTGGTGCACCTACCCCAAAATGGTACCATTGGTTTTGACCCACAGCCTCTTTTTTTGTGCACTTCAAGCTTTACATGTGCCGTTTTGCTGGCTGACAGTCAACTCGAGGCCAGGATCCTCGTCGGGGGTTCCAAAGGCTCCGTTCCAGGTGAGAGCCATGTTCAGCTCCTGACGCAAGTGCCGGACTCTAGACCCTACGCTTGATCACCAGCTTGGGGTTAACATAGATGAGATTTTCAGGGTATTGCAGTGACAGCGTCTAAGCAGGACGCAAGCAAAACAAACCAAAAACTACGGGCAAGCCGTGGTGGAAAAAAGACTCGCTCCCTTTGCAGATGAGCCATGGCCCCGAACAGACACACACACACACACACTCAAACAAAGACCTCACCTAGGGCACCTCACTGGACCCTCCCCGGCCTCCCGTCCAATGCAAAACCTCAACCTTTCTGCTGCGCGGGGAAGGTTTGATTTACTCTCGGCAAGATCAGCCCAAGATCTACAAGTATCAAGAGCGGTTCAGCGACGGGTGTTGCAGGCTTGATATTTGCAGGGACTGTTCCATGACGTTCTGAGGAGTCAACAAATGCTGTCCGCCACGGTTGCTCTGAGTCAAAGCGTCCTTGCGGGTGGGGTCAAAGACGTCTGGGTTGGAGAACACCGAAGTATCGCGGTTCGCCATGGAGAGGACGTACTGATTCAGCGTGTCTGCTGGCAGGGAGTATTGTTTCCCCTTGAGCGTCACCACCTGACTGAAGCGATCGCATTTACGTGGGCCAGCACTTCTTGACCCGACACGACAATGAAATGCAGATGAGAATGCGGTGGCACTCTTAACTCAAAACAAACCAAGCCTTGATAAGCCTCCAGCCCTACACAAAGCAAAGCAGATCCCTAGATACGCCATGCTTACAACTCCTGTTGGTCGTGGTCGTCCACTGCATCGCATGCAACATTCCACTATTGGAGCCCGTTCAATGGATGATGTCCACTCTTGCCAACAAGCATCTGCACTTCTTGTACACACACACAACAAATATATGCACATACATATATATATATATATATATTCATACATACTATGTATACATAGACCTATTATACATGACATGTCAAACAGGATTGTCATCTCCTCACTTGCCAAAGTTCTTGAGGCGCAGGCCCGTGCTTCTTTGCACACGTTGGTGGCACTCGTCACTGGTGGATCGATGCGGCACGCCTCCTCAGGAAAGAAGCCCTTCCAATCTTTCGGCTTCGGACAAGGACGTTGCGAGGAGGAACCCATGCAGCCGGTGCGGCTCAAATGACAGTTGGCCGGTTGGCTGATCTAAGTTGTTTTTCGCTTAGAAATCTATCAAAACAAAAACCACTGCGATCGCGATGTGCGCAAATCAAGGGAAGCCTTGATGTACGTCACTGGGCTTGCTTTGAAAGCTGCCACCATGGACTCCGACGTGGGATACCTTGGCTCGAGCGCTTGGCTCGGAGCTGTGTCTCAGCTCACTCTCCGGTCGAGACACTTCTCAAAGCTGATGAGGTGTGCGCTGGCCTCTTCAGGGATCTTGCCTTGCGCCGATGGACGATCTCAGACCCGATGGCCTTCCAATCCTCTTCAAGATTCATAGTAAAATATCCAGGTGCTTCGGACATGCATGCTTCATTCAAACAGCCAGTTCGAATCGCTCGACGGCATGCCAATCACCAAGAGGGGCAAGCTGCACTGCAGGAAAGCGCCCACCGACTCGCACGCTGCTGAAGTCCCACCAACGCCCGCAAAGCCCACGATAAACCTAAGGCTACAGCAAACTTGGGGCAACGAGAGCCAAGAAACTGACCTGAAGAAACGGCAATCCGCCATGCATCAGCTGGTCGTCTCCGCATTCAGCTCTAGCGCAAAGTGATGCGAAATGTTGAACAAATAGGTAAAGGTGTTGCCCTCAACGGACAGAAAGAGCCGCTACCCAAAATCTGTATTATGAAGATCGGACTATTGGGTGGCATGGCAGGTAGTCTGCCAATCATGTGGCAACACATGAGGACTTCCATAGATAGTTCAGACTGCCAAACCCACAGAAGGCAGCCGATTCCAGGTTTTCCCGTGGGGTATGGCGGTTTCGCACATAATATCCCTCCCGAGCAAAAAATCAAGACTGGCCATCTCACAGCTTGGCCACAAAATCTCATCCGCAAGCTTCACCGTTGGAGTCCTGAAGGGAAAAAACAGCGGCCAAACGCCTACCATCAAAGCCTGCTGTGTCGGGCAACAAAGGTCGCTGGTTTCTGAGGAATCGAAGCCTGCTGTAAAAGAGGCTGATCAAATGCATTGAGAAACGCGGGCAGAACATCCTTCTTTTTGCACGAAGCGGCTCCATAGTGCAACGTCGTTGACCAACTGTGCTTTGGATATGAGACAGCTACAGGGCTTCAGCATCAACGAATCGAGAAAAACGTAGCGTGAGATGCTGTTTAGAGCAGTGCGCCGTGATAAACTTGAGCTTGAAGACTCCTCAATTTGTTTAATGACTGCAGCTTTGTGGATGCATCGGCCTTTGACAAGGCCGAGTAAAAATAATAAGCACCCTTCCTCCGATATTTCTCTGGCATCTTGTTGTTGATGTCAATGATGAATGACTCCAACTTGTGCTTCTCGATGAGTCCAACCTTCAACAAGTTGCACCTGTTTGTTTTATTGCCGCTTCTGGACCTGGGGATCGACCCAGTTTCTGGTGCAAAACACCCTTCGAGAGCACTCCTTATCAAAAAGGCGATCGATGGCAAAAGAGCGCAAGCATCTATGGCACGGCTCGATTTTAAATTTATTAGATACAGTGCTGCTCTGTGCAAGCTCGGTGCAGAAAAGTCGCTGTATCAATCCGGAGTTGCTTCACTTTGCAAATTGCAAAGTTGAAGAGAAAGCGTTGGACCAGTCGTGGAAGGACAAAGTACCTTACGCCCAATGCACTCGCTCCAAGACATGAGGAGAGGCAAATCTCCTGGAGAAGCCTAGGCACGCAGCATAGTCTCGCCACCTAGCCATGACCTCCGCATCTTCCTTGTCGAGCCAGACACCAAACACCATGTAGAAGATGCATTTGGCAACCTGAATCTCGTATTGCGGAGCTAATGAACCAAACCCAGCCCAACCAAACCAACCACCAAAACCATGACACAGAGTCATCAAGGCTTCCTATGTGTTGGAGTTCGTGCTCAGATTGCCATAATGCACATTTCACAACGTATGCAAAACTTCCATGTGTAGCACAAGCACAATCACCACCACGACCGCCACCTCGACCCTCCCCCCCCCCCCCGCCCCGCCCAGCCGCCGCCCCCGCCACCACCACTGCCACCGCTACCGCCACTGCAACCGCCACCGCCACCACCACCACCGCCACCACCACCAACCAGCACCAACCAGCACCAACCACAACAACAACTATGAGGACAACAGCGACACCAACCAGCCAACCAATCAACCAACCGACTGACCGACAAACTGACCAACTAGAAGAGAAGCAGGGAGAATGGGGCAAGACAAGAGGTCAGGCGCTGCTGCTGTCAGCTCTCTCAGGCGCCAAGATACAAGAATTCGAAGCCTTTCTGTGTCACTCATCTCCTGAGCCACGGGTCAAGAGCAACGCTCTTCCCTGCTCGCTTTGCCGAATGTCCTGGTTTCTGCTACTCATGGAATCAAGACGCCAAATAAATGTTCAAAAAGGCACTCCGGGTACAGTAATTATCGGAATTGGACGATCTGAGCTTCACGCAAAAACAAAAAATGTTTCCAGGATTCAAGCGTCACAACTGCCCAGCCAAATGCATGCATGCCAGAAACCCTGGCTAAGTACAGAAACGGCCAAGACAACAAGCAAGTTGGGTGCCATGCTTCCCAAATGCAGGATTCATAGTTGCCCAGGAAACAAATTATCCAGAATGTTGACTGCAGCTTACCCAGGTAAATGTTTGTGAGAAATCGTGGATTTCTCAACTACAGCGCTGCAGAATCTATATCCAGGATTTGTACATCTGAATCCAGGAATTTAGGTCCTGGATCAAAGATCCAGGATCCCAAAACTTGTGGAACACTTTTGGGAACAATCTTGGATCCTTGATGAACCTCCTGAAACTGATTCACTGATGCAGGATTAGTTTCTAAATACTGTATTTAGATCCTGGATCCAAGATTCAAGCAGAATGGCCTTGGAGCCTCCTTTTCACTCATTTCAGTCAGAGGCGTTGCTCCAGGGCTCATCTGTGGAGCCGCCCTCCGGCCCGGCCCTGTGCCTCCAGCTTTGGGCTGGGCCAGTCGGTCGCGATGTACTCCTTCAGCTTCTTGGCGCGCTCACAGTACCACGCCGCCCCTGCGATCCGAAATCAACGAAAATATTTAAAATAGTCGATTTGGCCATGGGCTTCTCAAAATCCAAATCGGCTAGCCAGTGATCATCCCAATCCACACTAAAATAGGTTCTAAAATGGGTGCACCTACCCCAAAGTGGTACCATTGGTTTTGACCCACAGCCGTTTCTCCGCCCAAACCGCGAAGCCCAACTGCCCGCCAGGGTCTTGAGGTACAGTCTCCAAGCCAAGAACTATGGGTCTGGGTGCCTAGTTGATCCATTGGGTAGGGGCTTCTTCCCGCCTTTGTCCAGCAAGGTGGCATGCAAGGCTCTCCTCAGGCACGCCCACTCGCAATCGGTTGATCCATCGTTAGACAGGAAGATGATGAGGTTGGTGGCCTTGGAGTGGCATGCTGCATGTGTCTGGAGGGTTGACAAAACCTTGCCCCCCCGCCCCCGCAACTGGGATAGGCAGAAGGCTTCGTTTTGCGTTCCCAGACTTTTCCCTCATTCTGGGTTGAAGCAGTGGCGTTGGGCATATATTGGCGATTTTGAATTGTGGGCTGGGAAGAGGGCCGCCGCCAAGGCGAAGTTCTGTGCAATTTGCTAGGCGAGAAAAATCCGCCTGGGCCCCAAGCTTTGACAGTCCTTTGACCCTATTGGCTGTGGCCCTGGATGTAACTCTGACCTGAGGCGCCAGCGAACAAGTCGGGCGTGCAGGCCTGGGGGAAGCAACACGCAATCGCCTTCAAGGATGCCAATGGGCAAAACTGGCCTGGATGCATGCAAACGAGGACGATCTCTTCTGATTGGCCTTCGTGGTGTCACTGACTTCCTGCAGCAAGGTATGAAGACTTTCTGAGCAGTAGCCCAGTGCCCCGATGTTCTGAGGTCTGAAACACTGCCAATGGCACACCCGCCGCTCTTAGAACTCCCCAGTTGCCTTGTAGGTCACGGACCAGAACCCCTCGCCGTGCCAGTAGTGATCACCTTCACCAAAGGCCTCGCCAAGTCTCCAGGTCAAACAAGACAGGTCAATGTGCTTGCGCAAGCCTGCCTTCCACTCCCAGATAAATAGCGCAAGTCGACTCCTCCAGGTTCGAAGATGAGCACAAGACAGACTGCATCCCCCCCAAAGGGCGGCGTGACATGGCCTCTGCATCGTTTTTGTTTGGCTCTTGACAGCTTCACAGTCACAGTGCAAGGATTTCTGCCAGGCTCTCCTGCTGTTGGCAATGAGGGCGACCAGGCCGCCAATGACCTGGGCACAGAATCAAGCTTGAGCTGATCACTTTGATGAAACCAGAAACAGAAACGTCTCTGTGTTGTTCTAGGGCCAAAATTTAGCATGCTCGGGAAGTGCCTTCCCTCTGAAAACTTGCTTCAGAGGCCTGATGCAAAGAGTCCGCCTGAAAGACGTCCTCTTCTTCTGCGACGACTGAAAACACTTCAAAAGGACAGGCATATCACACATCCTGCCGCAAGCAAACCTCCAATAGATGGGCCCAAGCTGCATAGCGCCACCAGGATGGGGCGAGGATGCATGGGCGGCCGCACTCGACGGAGCCCATGGCTGAACAGCATAGCCACTGCCTGGAACAAGTCGGCTCTTTCATCTGAGAGGTTTGGTCGGGAAAGGGGAACTTGAGCAGGACGACGAAAGGTAGCAAACAGAAGCAAGGGTGAGGCAGTCAGGGGTTCTTTGTGGAGCCTAGAACCTGAAGGCGTGTTTAGAGCAGGGACTGCGCAGTTTCGGCGGTTCACCCAATGCTCTCTCTTGACCTCGTTGAGTCAAGATATTACCTGATGCACCTGCTTATTATGCGTGAAGCAAAACTTCTTGCCGAGGCCGTTTTGGGAACTGCCACATGCATGGAAGCCTTGGCCCCTTGTTGGGAAGGGGGGGTCCAGGGCAGAATCGAACCTACCACCTGAAGGGGCTTTTGGCTTGAACTAAATCATTGATGTTGGCCCAAATGATTGATACAATCCATTAGTGGGCCACTCACAGCTAGCTAAAGCTAGATTCCGTGATCTGCATGTAGCCAAGGCCCATGCTCGGAGCCAGTCAGGGGTCATGACCCCAGGCCAAAGTTCTTACCGTAAAGGTTCGATGACATACATGCTGCTGTTACGCATAGTGAATCTCGGAATTTGCCAAGGCCATGCGACAGGACACCTTTGCCTACAGAATCGTAGGCAATCCAGCAAGCTCCAAGTCGCATGGTAAGACCCTCTTCTGCCCAGGGACGGGATGCACTGGCAGCAATAGCAGCCCAAGACCATGAACGCCGTCACAATCCTTAGTGGCGTCGTCTTTGTCGCGGGGGCAGGATGGGCATCATGTTCCCCCCCCAAAAAAAAAGGAATTTCAGCGGTTGTCAAAATCCAAATGGGGGTGACGAGGCAGCCATTAACCTCGCGCGGTTTTTGGCCCAACTCTTGGGACACCCTGAGGCTTTGGCTGGCAAAGACCTCCGATGACGCCCTGGACGCAGCTGATGGGCAAGGTCAGCCACATACAAAGAACCTCAGGTGGCCCCATCGGAACTTGGTGCCACTGAGGATCACGAGAGGGGGTGTTCGCAGAAATCAAAGCGTGGTAAGTGGTGTTGCCGCATGTTGGTTCTGTTTGTTGCCTCCTTGTCGTTTTGAAGGGGTTCAGCCGTTGCGCATCTCCCGAACTTCCCGTAGTCTTCCCGTAGTCTTCGTGTAGTCTTGTAGTCTTCGTGTAGTCTTGTAGTCTTCTGGTAGTCTTGGCGATGTCTTCTTTTCTTCGGTAGTAGTTTCCGCTGATGCGTAGGAAAGTCTATCTCTATTACCCAGCATTCACTGGGCCAGTTGCCTGCTCAAAGATCACATGGTGATCGGTTGCTTATTGATGTTGTTATCGGTTGGGTCGACTATATGCTTTCCCCGAGAAATGTGTGCATTTATATATATATATATATATATACACTGATCAAATGCTTATCTGGGCCTGCCTCTGATCACCAATCTGTTTCGATTGTGCCACTTCTCCTACTCTCAACGTGTTGTCGTCGTGTTGCTCTTCCTAGCTCTTGAACATAAGGGTCATGCCTGACATGACCAAGAACCAGAAGGAATTGAATCGAGGGGATGCTTCGAAACTGTATCCAGCAAGCTTTGTGCTCTTTTCAGTTCTGATCTCTCCCAGCGAAACTCGATCCGGAACGCAAGGTCTTGTCGAAAGTAAAGGCAGATTCCCAAGCTTGCTGGACGACAACAAGGTCGAGAATTGCACAACCGGCCCACCCCGAAATGTGTAGCTTGGCGACGTCGCCTTTACTTGGGACACTACCTGCTAGCACCAAGCCAGCACAGAAAGGTGTGGCCCGCAAAACATCTGGCCGCCATTATGGCAAGCGCGAAGCTTCCGTAAATCTTATGCAGTCGATTTGTCTTTTGCGTGTGGGGGGGGGGGTTCTAATGTGGCACAACGCGTATTACTACTGTCACACTGAAGTCTCCTTACAAAAGTCTCTTAACATCTTTTGACTGCGAAAATCGGAACATCACGGCCACATCGAACCGCCACCGCGCACATAAACCCAGCCAAGGCAACGGACAACCAGCTTGCATCACCTGCCACATTCTGTAGTGGTGCGTTAACCACCTGACGGCCGCACAGGAAATGGTTGAGTGTCGTCTTGCGATGTAGCAACTTGCCTGAGGCTTGATTCCTATCACTTGGGACTCTACCACCTTAAATCAGTTGGCAACCGAACTTAATAAACTCATGTCGTGTCTTGTTCAAGAGGATCTTGACAGCTGTGGATGAGGTCTGTGGGTGGCCTTCTCCTAAAAAACAAAAGGACAAGACTCCCGGGAGGCATGGCCGTCACTCGCTTGAAAGGGAAGCCGGGCCTCGTTGATGTCTCCCCAACCTGCAGGCTTCATGATGGGGTCTTTGTCCGCCATGAGCAAGGAACGTGCAGGCTGCTTCGATTTGAGCCCAATCTGCAAGGCTGCTGCCAGGAACGCTCACATCAAGATGTCAGCGTGCTCTGTCACCTTTCATGTTTGAGGGGGTTTCAAAACACCAGCATGCACACTGTCTTAGGACCAGCCACAACTTTTCCACGAGCGGGGAGGAAGCATCACGCTAGCAATCCTAGGACCTTCAACCCGGGATAAGAGACATGGATGAACTCCTGCAGTTGTGCCCATTGGAACTGCGGAATCGTCAGAGCCAAAACCGGAAGTTCTGACTCCGAGAATTGGGAGCGGAGGACAGCAAGGGATCTGGCAAGAACCTCAAATCCACTTTGGCTCTAACTGGCTAATGGCCAAATTAATGGCCAAAACTGGTAAATCATCGACAAGCGCAAGGCGCGCAATGAAACTTGGTTTCATGGACTCCGGGTTGTCCGACGTGGGATTCATCAACGACGACGAGTTCGCTTCTTCCACCAGCCATAGAAGGCACCTGTGGCAACCAGGTTCAGTGCAAACATGCACAATCCGGCTTGTAACACGCCCCTTGGGTTGCTTGTTCCCAAGGATTTGGGGTCTCTGCTCAGATGAAAGCAGCTGCAAACAAGGGTTCCAGAGAATGAAAGGAACGGAGTTCCAGGGCCATCTCCATCATTTTTCTGAATGTGGTGCAGAGTTTGCTGGCGTCTAGTAAGGGATGGTCTGGAGCGGTTGCTGGATCGTGTTCTTGCAGGTTTGCACGGGGTTCCAGGCATGGATAGGCTTCCGAGAGTTCAGCAGTTCCAGGCACTTCGGGGCAGTCTATCGTGATGTTGGGTACTATCACCACCTGAGTTTATTGCCCCCTCCCAGAAAAAGGCCAATGAGCCGTCAGAAGTTGTCTGCGCCAACGCTTGGCCGGCCTATAGCTAGAAGCACCAACATCATGGCCCGCCGCAGCGCTGGAGCCCAATCGAAGGCCACACGAACTTCCGCCCGTCTGCGGCGGATGCGAGCGGCACACTCCTTGGCTGCCCGGGTCAAAGGGACCCCTTGAGTGACTTCAGCAAGACTCGGAATGCTTGGGACCCGCAGTGCGGCACAATGTGGCACATTGCCGTGCAGGTCGCGCTCGTTCAAGCCCAAGTCGCCGCATGGCTGGTGTACGGGAACATGTCAAAGATGGCAAGGGAAACTACCTCAAAGCCTGGAGCAATCCAGCATGCCTGGTCCCACAGTGGCGCCCCTGCCTGTGCCCAAGCAGTCCAAGTCGTGTGCAAGAGCGAGCGGGTTGCAAGATATGTACAGAATCCTGGGCCATTTCTAAATCGCAAGCATTGGGCTCCCTGCAAGGCTCCAATGTTGTCAAGCCGCTGATCGAATTTGGCCACAAGATCACGAGTGTCCGCATCAAGGCCTGCAGGCAGCACAAGACACACAAGGCACAAGCCTTACAAATGCTTGCACAACTCCAAGAGGGCTTTCCCTAGCCCCAAACCACTGCCCAAAAGGAACTGTTGAGTAGATCGAAGGGTGTGCTCATGGGAGTAGTCAAAACCCTTCGCGAGAAGCAGAAATCCAGCATCGATATGGTCAGCGGCACGGCAAAATTCCCCATGTCAGCATTAAAGGCCTACGCGAGGTGGATCCACCATCACCACATCATACTCAGCAAACGCAGCTGCGCTCATATCGGCGCTGGCAGCCCTCTTGACAGATGTATTCCTTGGACGTACATCTGGCAACATACTCTCGCTGTACAAGTCTACGCGTGGCAAGGCTGCCTCATGACATGCAAGTATCTGGCATGCCCAGTTTGCCAAGTGGTTCGAAAACATTCAAGCTCCAAGTGGACAAGCTAGACAAACAATGCTCTAATGCTCTCAGCGTTCGGCTCTCACCCACACATATCGAGAAAACTACCTTATGTATTAGCTTGCTCTCCTTCGATTGTTGCTCCCACACCATGTGGAGCGCTGCTCTCATTGCATCGCAGGCACTTGATCTGGTTCATGCTGAGGTTCTCCTACACAGCGTGTTCATTCAGCTTGCACATGCCCCACAAGCCGAGGCAGCGGCAACTGGAACATGCATGGGTTAAACTCAAAGAGCCTGGGTCACGCATGGTCTGCTCATATGTTGATAATGGCCCAGCAGCTGAGTATAGTCCGTGCAAACTGCAAATGCAAATTGGCATTGCAAATGGAAGGGGAAATCCGCAGACAGCATTCATCACCCGAAACGTCATTCGGAGAAGGGAGAAGGGATTACGCACCATGGCATAGCATGCATTAGCTCGGAGAATTGAAAGGAAGCCATGTGACAAATGTTGGACGCTTGCAGGAAACACTTGACTGTGCCAAGCACTGGTCTTCAGGCCAAGACCTCCAAATTGAATCGGCCAACCAGGGTTCTGCAACCCTGAAATGCCTCGCATGAGCTGTGCGTCCTCGGCAGCTTCGGCCAATTGTCGATTGATCTCCACTGCTGTCACTTCACCAAAGTACGGTGCCATTGCCACAGTATTGTTGCCACCTGGCGCGAGGTGCAGAAGTGAAGAGAACAAACCACGCCGTTCGCTTGGCTCAGGTCCGTCACTGACCGCGTGTAAAGTGCCAGCCTCCACAGTGGAGTTCCAGCAGCGCTGGGCTTTTCCTGCGACATCAAGCCCAGACCAATTCGCGTCAAGCCGTCAAGCCAGGTGCAATCACGTCCTGCCACGCACCGTCTTCCCGGCTTCTTTGGCCTCTTGGCAAAGCCAGTTCAAGCAGTGTATCTCGCACGATGGATTCCTTGGATGAGGTCATACTTGCGCACATCCACACCCTGCTGTGCTTGCCATAAAATGGTCAATGCAACAGTACTGTGCAGTGGCGAGTGACCAAGTTCTATGCAAACGTTTCCAAGGCAGGCAAGCAGCGGATTCGAAAACTGTCCCTGCGGCACGTGGCATGCTCAACCATTGACATGTCTGGACATGTCTGGACATGTCAGCACCCATAAGCAAAATCTGCCCTCATGGGCCGTGTCTGAAACGGCCCGCTGATGGACCTGCTGGTGGGGCGTTTCACGAGGCCTCTCTTGACTTGGCAAACTGAGCGGGTCGGCAGGGTGTTGCCTGTACCCTGCCTCTGGTTGTTTGTAGATCAGCTTTCTGCCATCCTCCAGGTCATAGCAAGATTCAAGCAAGGTGACGGAATTGATCGAGGCTTGGCGACATCTGAAAAGATTGCCACCTTCCAAGTGGTGCGTCACTGTTGATTTCCTTCCCAACCGCGTCCTCCAACTCCAGCGACTCCTTCACGAAGTCCCGCGACAAGACGAGGCGCCGCCTTTTCCAGCGCCCCACCACGTCGATGACGGCTCCTCGACCCCAAAGCGAGGCGCCCGAGTGAATCCACACGTCAACATGGTCCCTTCTATTGAATTCCTCTTCCAAAGCCAAGCAACGAATTCACCTTTCCCCCCGAAAGAGACAGCCCATGAGTGTTGCCGCCCTGCTCACACGATCCGAAGTAAATTTGGCGTCCTGAAACTCCAGCTGCTGCAACGCCTTGATGCCTTGGCATGGGTGCACTGTGAAGCAGTGAATTGTTTCAGTTCCACCTTTCTGACACTCTGAGTACCCAATTGAGCAACATGTGTGTGCGTGTGTATCATACAAATACATATGTATTGTGAACTACTTGTTTGTCAATGTATTTGTTACATTTGTTCCGGGCATATGTTCGCACTTGTTGGGCGTTTCATCCGTCTGAAAATGTTAGTGCAAAATGGACCGGCGAGTTGCAATAAAGCCTTGAAGTCCTCTGCAGCAGCAAGCCACATCTTCGAGCTGGAAGAGCTTGCAAAGCTCTCCCCGTCCTTTCACCGAGGAGTGGCTCTGAAGAATGCAGATGTTTCGGGTCACTTGGGACCGAAAGGTGCCAACTGTCCCCAACGAACGATGCGCTAGCGCATAGCAGCAGCCTTTGAGTGCGACTTTAGCCCCACAATGTGTGGGTGTGTGTGTGTGTGCGTGCGCGCTAGCACACACGCAACAACAGGGAGAAGGAAAAAACAGGGCTCGCAAAGAACCGCTTGCGCGCCCTCAATGTGAGCTGCACGCGTCATGCACAAATCGCACGAATCGCAACTTCTAAATGAGTTCTGAAATCGCATTCGCTGGTGCAATAATTCGCATGGGTCAACTATTGATGGGATCATACCTCAGAAACACACAGGCCACCATAGGATTCGTTGACTTAATAGAGGTGTTGATTGATTCTTCGTAGAACGGGCAAAGTACCAAAGCTGCGCCAGGGCAGTTTCTCCCACGAGCCTCGTCAGGAAGTGTCTCGCCACGCTTCAGACACTGCAGGCCCTCTTTGTAGTATGCGAGGCACCTGAATCGGCAAAGATGCTGTACGGTTGCAGAATTTACACAAAAGCCCTGCACAACAAAGTGTGCAAGCTCTATTAAAGAAACTGCAGGTGGGTGTGTCGTGGGAAATTAATGATCATTTGAGGACAAAAGGCAGTGGGTGTCAGATTGATCTGAATCAGCTGAAAGCAACATCCATGCAAGGCACACCATGAGCTCGCCAGATAGCGTCGAGTGGAACTGTGCAGATCGTAGACCATGGCCTATGACCTTGCCCCAATCGGCGGACTTCGACGGCTCGGAGGTGCCGATGCATTCCCACTCGGCATCGTCCTTGTCCTAAGGCTTCAGCCCGCAAATGGCATGATGAAGTTCCATGAAGATGGCTCCCGGGAAAGGCCCACCCCCCACGGCGTGCTGCAT